CGTTTATGTTAGAAAAATGGGTCCAGTCTCATGTAAGTGATTTTGGACCAAGTAAAGGCTATGGGCTTTGATTTTTTATTTTACACAGAGCCCTAACTACTTAATAAAAAAGAAGTGAGATTGTTTTAGGTATGTGTCGAAAATCAAGCAGAGAAAGAAGAAAAGTCAGAAAAAGCAGAGAAAGAAAAAAAATCAGAAAAAACAGAGAGAGAAAAAAGAGAAGGGAGAGTTGGTTGAACGGAAGTCAATTCGTGGTCTGATTGAGTTGGAACCTTGTCAGGAGGTTTATGATTCAGAGGTTTATGATTCAGAGTTCTACATTCTGAACGGTGAAGATCGGGTTTGAAGCTCTCTAGGAACAAATCCAGGGTGTATTTGTTGAGTCACTTATTTGGTGAGATTTCTCCAATTGTTTCTCTAGTTGTTGATTAGCTCTAGTTTTAGCTAGAGAAAAACTTTGCATAACTATTATTTGATAGTGAAGATTTTTCTGATGATCCGTGGTTTTTTTCCTCTACACTGGAGGGTTTTTCACGTAAATCTTGGTGTGCTTTATTTTTCCTGCGTATTTGATTATTGATTGCTGTCTATTGCTTCTATATTGTTGTGATTATTGTTTCAGGAGCAACAAGTGGTATCAGAGCGAGGGTTATTTTGAGACATCGATACAGAAGCAACCCAGGATAGAAGTAAATTCTGTTTGAGATCATGGAGGGTGATACAGGTTCCATGATAAAATTGACAGCATCGAATTATTCAATTTGGAAGCCTATGATGGAGGATCATCTATACTGCAAAGATTTGTATGAGCCAGTATTGGAAGATTCGGCTAAACCAGCGGATATAAAAGATGAAAGCTGGAAGAAGCTAGGTAGAAAAACGCTGGCTACAATAAAAAAATGGGTTGATATCAGCGTGTTCCATCATGTAGCGCAGGAATCAGATGCTCACATTATTTGAAAAAAATTGGCAGCATTGTATGAGAGAAAAACATGTATGAATAAAGTTATGCTTGTTAAAAAGATTGTAACTTTACAGTACAGGGATGGACGATCTGTTACAAAGCACTTGAGTGATTTTCAAGATATATTTAATCGAATGACTATTATGAAGCTTTAAGATGGATGATGAAATGAAGGTATTATTTCTTTTGGGTTCATTACCAGACAGCTAGAATACTTTAGTTGTGACTGTTCTTAATTCAGCTCCTGATTATAATGTGACATTGGAGATGGTAAAGGACAATATGCTTAATGAAGAAGTGAGGCGAAAAGATGTAGACCCTGGGAATCAAGCTCTAGTCACAGAGAATAGGGGTAGAAACATCGACAGAGGTCAGGACTCAAAAAGTCGTGGTAAATCTAAACATAGATCCAAATCTAGAGGTAAAGTGAAGTATTTCCATTGTGATAAGATGAGTCATAAAATGAAACTGTAGAATCTTAAAGCAAGAGCGAAAAGATGAGAAAGGTAAGAGTTCAGATGATGGCAATGTTGTAGCAGTGAATTCAGATAGTGATTCAGTTACTTTGATTTGTACACATGGTGATTGTAATCATGTTAGTGATCCCGGCATTGAGTGGATAGTTGACACAAGAGTGGCATATCATTGTGTTCCTAAGAGAGAGTTGTTTACAACTTACAAAACAGGAGACTTTGGTTGTACCAAGATGGGAAACAAGAGTGTGTCGCAGATTGTTGGGATTGGTGATATTGTTGTACAAACTAGTATAGGCTGCATGTTGACTTTGAGGGATGTCAGACACATTCCAAATATGAGAATGAACTTGCTTGCTATTAATGTCCTTGATAAGGAAGGATATGAAAGCTGACAAAAGAATGGACAGTGAAAGCTTCTCAAAGGATCTATGGTAGTTGCAAGGAGAAAACTATGTTGCACAATGTATAAGACATGAATGCAATTGAACGGTAACCAGATAAATACCATTGAAAATGATGCTTCAGCAAACTTGTGGCACAGAAGGCTGGCACACATGAGTGAAAAGGGGTTACAGGTTTTGACAAGGCACTCTCTCATTCCCTTGACCAAAGGTATGTCTCTCGATTCATGTGATTATTGTTTGTTTGATAAGCATCATAGAGTTTCTTTTCGTAAAAGTTCTCAGAGAAAAGAAAATAGATTGGAATTAATTTATTCTAACGTATGTAGTCCCATTGAGGTTGAGTCATTAGGTGATAGCAGATATTTTGTTACTTTTATTGATGATGCTTCACATAAGACTTGGGTGTATATGTTGAAATACAAAAGTCAGGTACCACAATATTTTTAAAAATTTCATGCCATGGTTGAAAGGATGACAGGGTTACCCTTGAAGTGTATTCGAACTGATAATGGTGGGGAATACACATCTAAAGGCTTTGAAAAGTATTGCTCAAAGCATGGGATCAGGCATGAGAGGACAGAACCTGAAACACCGTAGCATAATGGTATAGCTGAAAGAATGAATCGCACCATTGTGGAAAAAATCAGATGTATGTTGAGGATGGCAAAATTATCAAAGCCATTCTGGGGTGAAGCAGTCAACACAGCTTGTTATTTACTTAACAGGTCACCATCAGTTCTTTTGGGCTTTGACATTCCAGAAAGAGTGTGGACAGGAAAAGATACTTCATACTCTCACTTGAAAGTTTTTGGGTGTAAAGCATTCATGCATGTGCCAAAAGAGCAGAGGTCAAAGCTTGCTACACAGTGTGTGTTTGTAGGATATGATGATGAAGAATTTGGTTACAGGGTATGGGATCCAGTAAAGAGAAAGACAGTCAGAAGCAGAGATGTGATCTTTCATGAAAAAGAAACCATAGCAGACTTTGAGAAAAATGAAAAGACTACACGAGTTACTGTTAAGTGTGATGTTTCAACATCGACAGGGATTTCACAGGAAAGAGCCACAGATGATGAAAATGAGCAAGAAATAGAACTTGGAGATATGAATGAGCCAGCTACAGTTGGTGATGAGCCAGATGCTATTAGTTTTGAGCAGGGAGAGCAATCCTCTCTACCTGAGAGTGTTGAGTAGGGGGAGCTACCTTCGACATCAAGTAATGTAGACTCTTAGCCCAGGAGATCTATTAGAGAGCGCAGGCCATCTACTAGGTATCCAAGTTCATATTTTATTTTAGTTACCAGTGAAGGGGAGCCAGAAAGCTTTCAAGATGTGCAGGCTACTCCGGATAGAGAGCACTGGTTAAAAGCAATGAAAGAAGAGATGGAGTCATTGCGAAAGAATGGTATTTGTGATCTTGTTAAACTTCTCAGGGAAAAGCTTGAGCTTTGCAGTAACTTGGCCGGAATGAGTTCCCTAGCCAAGGTAAGTTCCAAATGAAACTGTTATGGTGATGAATCTCCTCCTAATAGGGCTGAAGAGGAAGATTGTTAGGAAAATGGGGTTCAGTCCCATGTAAGTGGTTTTGGACCAAGTAAAGGCCTCGAGCCTTGATCTTTTATTTTACATAGAGCCCTAGCTACTTAATAAAAAAGAGGTGGGGTTGTTTTAGGTGTGTGTCGAAAATCAAGCAAAGAAAGAAGAAAAGCCAGGAAAAGTAGAGAGAGAAAAAAGAGAAGGGAGAGTTGGTTGAACGGAAGTCAATCCGTGGTCCGATTGAGTTGGAACCTTGTCAGGAGGTTTATGATTCAGAGTTCTACATTCTAAACGGTGAAGATCGGGTTTGAAGCTCTCTAGGAACAAATCTAGGGTGTATTTGTTGAGTCACTTATTTGGTGAGATTTCTCCAATTGTTTCTCTAGTTGTTGATTAGCTCTAGCTTTAGCTAGAGAAGAACTTTATATAACTATTATTTGATAGTGAAGATTTTTCTGGTGGCTCGTGGTTTTTTCCCTCTACACTGGAGGGTTTTTCACGTAAATCTTGGTGTGCTTTATTTTTCCTGCGTATTTGATTATTGATTGCTGTCTGTTGCTTCTGTACTGTTGTGATTATTGCTTCAGGCGCAACAGTTTAACTATGTGATTAAATTTAATATTATTATCCAAACTCAAATCAAATTAAATAAATATTATCCATTGAATATTAAAATTTATTAAAATATCAAATTACTTAAAATTTTTTTATCAAAATATAAAATAAATAAAAAATTAAGTTAAAATTATAATTTACTCTTAATTAATAACAAATAAAAGTTATTTGTAAATATTCAAATCCTTTCACATGTATAAGACTTTATGTACTTTGCATATGTAAACGAATAAAGGATTAGAAAATCCAATACTATCATTAAAAAATTTAAACGAACTAAGATATCTAATAATTAAATGTACTATCTGAATTCATTATGAACTATCAAAATCCAGTAATTATCCATTTATAAATATTCAAATGAATTGCACCGAATATCCAACTATTTATTATACATTACTATCCCTGTCCAAAACTATTACTTGGATTGTTCCTTTTTTCCTCTTTACAAAAAATGACCTGTCATGGAAGAGTAGATAAACTCATCAAGAGTTAACTGTGGGTCAAATTAATTAAGTTCATCCAAAAGTTTTAGCCCTTAAGCTTATCTCAAAAGTCTCAAACCCCTAATTATTTTAGTCTGGCTTTAATCTCAAGGTTCATCTTGGCCAATTATCATTAATGGGCCAACAATAAAGATTTTGTCCAATAGAAAACGCGGAATGCAAGCAAAAGCAGTACCTAGTACTTGTGTAGAACTAGAAATCCTTTAGGGTTAGAGTTAAATACACCATTAAAAGCCGGCTACCTCTTACTAAACAAGTTCTAGGATTTTTTTTTTCTTGTTCTTCTGCCATGGATTCCATTGCTTTGAACGAAATCGATGTAGATGATGAGCTAGATGAACCAGAAGCTGTTGAAATCTACAGCGAAGACGACGACAATGATCAAGATGGTAATCATCGTTATGGTGATGACTGCCCTGTTTCTGAATTCATGATGTTTGAAGACTCCACCACCCTGAAGCCGACAAAACACAGTCTTGAACGAGTCAGATATTCGTAAACTTATGGAGGATTCTATTGCAGAAGTTTCAACAATTCTTTCATTACTCAAGTCAGGGATGCCTGGTTTTCGGATGAATTTCGAGTCCAAAAAAAGCTTGGTTTAGTGTTAGAGAAACAGGAAATCCATTTTCCTGATGAATTAACTTGTGCGATTTGCTTTGAATCTTATTCTCGTGATGATCGCAGTTGTGGTAAGTGTGGTCATCCCTTTTGTAACGATTGTTGGACTAATTATATAAGAAACTACATTCGCGAAGGCACCGGACCCTTGATGATACGGTGTCCTGAACCTTCTTGTCGTGCTGCTCTTCATCAGGAATTGTTTGATAAGATTGCAACCGAGGAACAAATGGATCGATTTTTGAGTTACTTGATTAAGTCGTTTGTGGAAAACCAAAGGACTATTAAGTGGTGTCCTGCTAATGGATGTGAATTTGCCATCGACTTATTAGATGGTGTTAATAGCTGTGATGTTTCTTGCCTTTGTTCGTATAATTTTTGCTGGAACTGCAAGGAGGAAGCTCATCGTCCGATGGGGTGTGACATAATTACAAAATGGAATGAAAATATCAATCCGGACACGAGAACCATGAGCCGGATAATGATGTGCAGCAAGCCTTGTACGAAATGCAAGAGACCGATAGAGATGAGCTTTGGGTGTATGCACATGAAATGTAGGCCTCCTTGCAATTTTGAGTTTTGCTGGATTTGCCTTCAAAGATGGGATGGTCATAGGAACTTTTATGGTTGTAACCGTTATGGTGAAGTAACAGCTGAGAGGGAGAAATCAAAAGAATCTAGGAAGAAGTATCTCCATTGTTGTGATCGTTGGGAAGCACATGGAATTTCAAGGAGAAAAGCTGTTAAGGATTTAGAGAACCTGAAATCTCAGCAGATTAAAAAACTTTGCGACATCCAACAACTTAGTTGCTAGTCAGCTGGATTTCTTAGTGGAAACCTGGAGATAAATAATTGATTGCAGGCAAATCCTAAGGTGGACATATGCATATATATTTTTCTTATCAGAAAGTGAGCATGGTAAGATAGAGTTTTTCGACCTTTTGCAAGGTCAAGCAGACTCTGGTCTCGAAAGGCTTCATTCTTGCGCCGAGAGGGGTATAGGAGAGTTCCTCATTGCCGATGGTCCATCCCTCAACTTCGATGAGTTTCGAACTATGCTGATTGGACTGACCAGTGTGACTAGAAACTGCTTTGAGAATTTCGTTAATGCCTTGGAAAATGGCCTAATCTGATGTTGAATCCAAACCGGTTGCAGCTGCCAGAGGAATCACAAGAAGGCGTCCGAGCAAAATTTTGATTGGACCTTGGCCAAGTTCTCCATAATAGATGACTCTGAGTTCAGCAAGTATCATTTAGTTTGAAACATTTGTCTTTAGGCTTATGTCCTAGTATTAGAAGAACTATTTATATCAGACAACAAGTTATTTATTGCTAAATTTTTAATTAATTATCAACTATGCCTTCTATTGGCAATATGTGATGACATATGTTTTGTAATTCTCGCGATTTAGAAAGATATTTACAAAATATATGCTTGTATTCTTGTTTTAATTCAAATCTTAAATGGAAAATTTTGCCAAGCTTGATGAACTTAAGCTTTGCAACTGAGTACTTGTTGGGGTTTTCCAGTTTTTGTAGGACAAGTTCAGTAACTTAAGAACATTGTAGGATTCTTGGATTTTTTCCGGGGTGCGATTCACCAATTTTATTGATCGAAAGGGTGTCCAGTTGAATATTTGAAAGGCGTTTAGGAAAAAAGTTTCTTTCAAATTTCTTTACGTTCGAAATTTTCAAGTGTCCATGGACATCAACTCTGCCATTTGAAGAGATAGATGGAGGGATTTGACCAGAAAAATTGTTTGTTGATAAATCAACACATTCTAATGATCCCATTACATCAATGTTATCTGCAATCCTTCCAACTAAAAGATTATGTGAGAAATTCATTGATTGTAGGCTGGTAGCCTACCAGACTTGTCATTCAGTAATCTCTCCGGATAAGCTGTCTGAAAGGTCCATTGTTTTAACAAGTTTAAGGGTAGTGCTATAATCCACAACTTTTACTTTCATCACGAGTAATATATAGCTCAATCATGGTTAGGGGTTTAATCGAGTCGAGTTGAGTCGATACAGTAAAAAGTTCGAGCTTGAATTCGACTCATAACTCGGAGCTCGATACTCGGTTCGAACTCAATTGAGTTTTATTTTTTAAACTCGAGTTCGATTCGTGATTGAATTCGAGCTACTCGAACTTCGCTCGATTAATATGTAAAAATAAGCTTGATTCGTATATTTGACAAAAATTCGATTATTTATGCTCGAACTCGAACTCCGACTCGAAATATTTTATTAATTAAAATATAAAAATATATTTAAATATAAAAGTTTGATTAAGCTCGCGAGTTATTCGAACCGGATATAATAATACTCGAATTTGGTTTGATCAATAAGTTGAGCTATTCGAGCTCGAACTCGACTCGATAATAATCGAACCGAATTCGAGTTTTCTTCGAATCGAACCCGAGTAGCTTGCGAGTACTAATGTATCATTTACACCCTTAATCATAGTTATAAGAATCAATCATAGTTATGAGAATTAAACCGGATAGGGTTGATTGAACCAATAACTCAATATTTAAACCAATCCAATTCTCTTATCAGGTTAGATTTATAATTAACTCACTTTAAATCATATTGACCTGACAGTTTAATTAATAAGTTAGTAAATCGATTAGTTGTTATTAATTCCGTTAGGTTTTAAATTTGTTAATGAAATAATTTTAAAAATTATGATTAATTTGGTTATAATAATCCATAATTTCAATTACAAAAACTAAATTAACATATTTTAAAGTAAAGTAGAAAATTAAAAAAATAAAATCTAAATAAAATACATATATTTTTGTAATTTTCAGTTTTTTAGGATATTTGCTTTTGTTTGGTTCTTTAAATTAATATGATTTGAATAATTTGATCAGTATTTTGAGAATTTAGGTTAAGAGTTTGAATTTAAAATTTATTTTTGTAAGTTAAACTTATTATATATTTATTAAATATATATTTTTTACATTTATTATATTATGTTATATATTTTAATTATTTAAGTATAAAATTATTTATAATAAAATTTTATTATTTATCATGTAACGATTAATTTTTCGAAACATTTATATTTTTATATCTTTATTGGTATGACATTTAATTCTATTGATCCAACTATTAAACTAATGATCAGACATTTTAAATGATTCATTCTCCGAACCAATTTTGATAATTATGATCTCAATTGATAAATTATTATAAAAAAGGTTTAGAATTTGAAGAGTTGTAGAGCACAAAGTTCTTTAGGTATAGTACCATCAGACTCAATAGCAGACACATGAATTTTTTCTCGGGGTGTCTATTTATTATGAATAAAAATTTATAAATAAAAAATTAAAATAATATATTACTATATTATTACAATTATCATGCAAAATTTTATATCTTAAAAAAAATAATTACATCATTATTAATAATATCAAATATATCTTTCTCAATATATAACTAAACAATCATTTAACAAAAATAAAATTTTTATTTCATAAATCACTCTTTATCAACTTTATCATCGAAAATGTTCACTCCATAATTACGATAGTTACCGGAAGAGTTAATGCCAACATCGGAAGTACGTACATAAATAACATTGTTTTTATCTTTAGCACTTTTCTTAAAACACTCCTATATATCACTTTCCAAAGCCTTTTTTTTTTTTTTTTTTTTTTTTTTTTTTAAGTATGCCCTTCTAATTTCGTGACAATTATTTGAATGATGACTATTATTTTTTTTTTTATAGTACGTTTTCGCTTTTTTTTTTTTTAACAGGAAGGACGCTATGACTGGACTTACAAAGAACTTGAACTAATAACGACTCTAACATAGATGACCGTTATATTGGTGAGTCTATATAAATTGGATATGAATTAATAAACATATATTTATGATTTATTTATTTATGTTTTAAAGTATTCGTTCATATTTTATAAAAAATTATTTTATTTATTTTAATTTAATTTATTTAAATAATAAAATATTCATATTTAGTTTAAGTTCGATTCGATTAAATTAAATAAGTTTATTCGTAAACATTAAACGAATATATTTATGAATATATATAAATGAATATGTTCATAAACAATCAACAAATCATAATCAAATAAATTTTAAAAAAAAATAAACGAACATAAACAAATATTAAAATAAAATTTGGGTAAAAATTAAAAATATAACTTTATTACTATTAAAATAAACGATCAACAAATGAATAATAAATAACTAATAAACGAATAAATTTTAAACGAATTTATTTATAAATATAAATAAAACAATCAAATTTTTATTTGTATTCGATTTATTTGATAAATGAATATAAAAAAATTATTTAAAATCATTTATTAAACTTTTTAAATGAATATAAACAAATAAAAATTAAATATATTCATAAATAATTCATTAAAAATTATGTTCATGTACATCTTGTATATCAATAACTTTCTTTATGTAAGATTCCACATTTTACCTTCTGGTTGTTAATGGGGAAGCTCAATCTGGTAATTATCAAATATTATATATTATCTTGGATTTGTTTAAGGTTCTTCAAGAGCCACAGCTTTAAATCAATTAATTCGGGAGGTATTTGGTCATCACGGATGGATCATTATTAAATGGAACTTAAGTTCAAGCCGATTGAAACTTGGAAGCTTTCTATGAATTTGCTTCTATACAGCAATTGATCTATATAGCAATTGATCAATAAAATTTTAAAAAATCAAAATAAATTTAACCGATCATTCATAAAAAAAAAAATCGAATTAATTGATTTATTTTTAATAATTAAATATAACTAAACCGATTATGGGTAAGTTTAATAAAAAATTTGAAGTTATAATATATTTTGGTCATTAATTTTGAAAATTTTAAATAATTTTTATTTAAATATAGAATAAAGTTTGTTAGATAATTTAGTAACAAAAATCCATGTATGAAATCTGAAAAAATATATAATTTTATTAATAAAAAATATAAATTATTGTTCCACTTATTATTCGATAAATAAAATTAATTTTTCTTGTAAAAAAATATGTAAAACATTTTCACCACTCCTAAAATCCAAGTAAAAATATTTTTATATTATTTTATTCTTATCTTAACTTAAAGTTAGCTTTTATAAGCAGTTTTTGTCTGCATATGCACTTTAGAAAAATAGGTTATTTTGTTATTTCGGTTTTTAGAAAATTATTATTCTACTTAAAGGTGTATATAATTTGATTTTAATTAAATTAATTAATAAAGTTAATTTAATTAAGTTGATCAATCAATTATTAAATTAATTTTGATTGATTAAAAAAATTATTTAAAATTATATATTTTTTTATTTTTAATTAATTCAATTCAAAAATTAAATTAAAATTTTAATGAAATATAATATAATTCAAATATAAAATAAAAAATATATGAAATTGATCATTTTATTTTATAAATTATTAAAATTGTAACATAATATTTTAATACTTAAAAATTTTATTAGATAATTTTATTTAATTTATTTAAATATAAAAAATTATAAATAAAATATAATTTAATATTTATTTATTATTTAATTAATAAAAAATTAATTAAATCATCAAATTAAATTCAGTTGATTAATTTTTAATTTTAATAATTTAATTTGAAATTAATCGTAACCGGCCGAAATGAATATTCCTAATTCCGACTATAAATTGGATAAGTCGTCTTTACTACTACACTTATAAACCCTAGCCCACAACCACAAATCCTCCAAAAAATTCAGAAAAATAAAGCTTAAGATGAGCGGCTATATGAGTAGATTATTTGCAAAATCTAATTCCAGTTTCTTGTTATGTAATGGAAGCGCCCTGAAAGCTGACGTTCTACGCTTAAGGGAAGGAATGTTCTTGGTGGATGCAGGAATTGGGACTCCCAGAATTTGTAGGCAAGATGAGACTACAGGAGTCGGAATCAACAACGGAGCCACCGCTGCCAGGTTTGAGAATAAGGTGGGATACCTGGGTTCCATAGCCGGTGAATCACTGATCAAAAAGCGGATTTTGGAGAGGCTTTTCATCGATGTAGTGGCTGGGGAACCATTGCTCAAAGAGCGAGCAGTCGCCAGGTTTTTTGGTGGGAACCACAGATGTAGTGGCTGGTGAACCGCTTCTTCTTAATCCACAAAGATTCAGACAAAGGATAGCTTGGAAGGAACTGAACAAGATTTGGCGAACGAATACAAAGGTCAAAGGCTTTATTATTGAGAAAGTAAAAGGAGGTTATTCAGTAGCCATCGCAGGTTTCGTTTCTTTCCT